ACACAACTACACACTGATAACACAACTACACACTGATAACACACAACTACACACTGATAACACAACTACACACTGATAACACACAACTACACACTGATAACACAACTACACACTGATAACACAACTACACACTGATAACACACAACTACACACACACACCACAGAGAAAGGTAGCAGGTAGACAGCTATTCTTCCTGCACATAAATACTGGTACAACAACGTATAAAATAAATGTAATAATGTATCTAAAATAATGTATGAAGTCAAGTCTAAAATATAGAGTAGCTTCAAAATGAAAATGCATTTTAAAATAAAATTAAAGGGACTTCACAATAAATTACAATAAACTTTACAAATAAAACATATTTTGAAACCTTAATAATCTAATAATATGACCTCCATTTGGACTGAAAGATATGTATATAGTGAGACTGTACTTAAAGCTTTTCCGTAGTCCTCCATTTTAGTGATGAAACCAGCTGCATTGCATGTGTAATTTTGGATAGAAATAGGGGTTGTTGAATTGTATTAATTATTTACCAAGAGTGGAAACAAGTAGACCAACACAGTGTCCCGTTGGAAAGCAATGTCAAAAAGGTTTGCCAAATCCAAACTATATTCTACAGGAAAAGTATGAAAATAAGATATTAAATCTTAAATAAAACAACTGAATACTTACTTTGACAATGTGTCTCACTTCCTGTCTGTCCAGGCAGCCGTTTCCATTTCTGTCATAAACTTTAAACGACCACCTCAATTTGTCTTCTAGTTTCCCACGAAGGACAAGATGAATAGCTGCCACGTACTCCATGAAGTCCAAATGACCGTCCTGAGGAAAAGCAGGATAGATCAGTCACACAGAAACTCATAAAATGCTAAATGAATGGGTCAAAGTGATTAGTCAACATCACTTCATCCAGCAATGCATTATTTAAAATATTGTATATTTATATTCAATACCACACACTCAAGAAGACACTGTTACATTACATGGTTCGTGTCGAAGGATCTGAAAACATTGTCCATGAATGCGCATTCTTCTTCCGTGGATTTGCTGTTTATTCCGAATATTTTCTTGAATTCGTGCAGGTGCAGGTTTCCACTCGGACAATCTGTGGCAAATTTGAGGTAGAGTTCCTGCATGTGTTGGAGAGTCACCTCCTTATCTAAGTTACTCGGTTTTTGACCCATATTTTAAGTGAAAAAGCAGCAAAATGAAGTTAAAATAAAGGAAATCCTAAAGACAAGTTGTCATCCACATTGTTCCCCCGTGCAGCAAACATCATTCTTCTTCAGACGACCCACCGTGGGCTATTCAAAGTTGACCTGCAAAACAAATCCAATTGACTCGGTGGCCCTTTTCAAATCCCCCATAAGAAAACCTTCATTCTTCCAAAAACATTAAAACTCCATTGCTTTGAAGAAAAAGACAGATCAATCTTTACTGAGCATTAATAAATTAGCTTGTAAGCAGGAGCCCCTTCGCCTCTTTGACAGAAACAGAGAGAGAGGGTGTTGGCAAAATGCCACCGCTGAGCCCTCAACCAGATTAAAAACATTTGACGTCAAAGCCGTGAAGATTGTGGTCCTCCGGGATAAGACTGTTATGCTCTGTGGTCTGCACACCTTACACAGCCTTAGTGCCTTATGCATGTAATACATAAGAAAACTCTTCAATAATTAATGCTGCTGTCAAGAAGCACACCCAAAAGCCCCCACTGTGCACAGTAATTCAGAACCAGGGCATTAATATCAAGGAGCTCAGGATAACAGTTATTTATATAACAAATATGAAGTAAAAGTACAAATGTGAAATAAAATATTATTTAAAAAAAAAATATTTAAATATATGAAGTTAAAGTACAAATGTGGAATAAAATAAAGAATACCTTAAATAGGTTAAACAACTCTTAATTAACATAAAAAACTTAAAGTAAACATGTGGAATAAAATAATACAATTAGTTGAAATAAAATATAATAAAAAAGACTACAAATATTGTACTTAACATAAATAAGTAAGTAGAAGCAATAAAAGGATCAAATCAATACAAATGGAATACAACTATTTAAATCAGAAGCTTAAGAAACAATGTGGAATAAAGCAATTATTGAATACACATATGTATATAATATATATATATTATTTATAAGTAAAACTTTGCAATAAAGGGAGAACATTTATTTAAATAGAATACAAATATGTATATAGACATAAGAAGGTCAAATAAAAAAGTGCATTAAAATATAAAATAAAATACAATTAGTTTCCAATTGATTTAAATTGAAGCTAAGAAGAATCTTCCTTTGGGCAGATTTACACTTTGTATGCAATTTCTGATGTATTTATTAGAACATTTTTCCATGGTAATGTCCACTACAACAAGGAATATACTGCTAGTATTAAGATGAACCACTGAGGCAGTCAAGTTCATAATTTACATGGGACGAAAACCAAGACGAATACGCTCTGACGCTCCGTCAATGCCGTCGTTATGCAGAAGTGGGCGTGGCTAAATATCAACTGGGTTGGAAAAACAACAGACGCTTCCGGGATTTGTCACTGTGACAGAACTGCGCATGCGCACTTCTCCTTCCAGTTGTCTGTTGACAAACGTGACCCAGGAATATCTCTGCAATTTCGTCGCTAAGTGGAATAAAAATGCATTTTAGCGGGATTTCCCCAACGTTGTGAGGTGTCAGGTGGATCCTTCATGACGTTTTGAATCCGGTAAGCATTTAAAAGTGACATTTAATGGGTTAAATCTTGCTTGACCGAGCTAATCTCTCAAGTGGACAGTCAAAAATGCTAGCTAAGTTAGCGTGTCAGCAAGATAAAGTTAGCTAGCTGGATTAACGTCAGCTATATCTGGTATTTTTTAAAATAACTGCCCGACTTTCTCTGTGACGCCTACCCCAACTCATAAGGCCCTTTTCTGGGGGCAAGTGTGATGCATTTGCGGTTCCAATGAGCCGTGGTACGGGTAAATAAGTCGGGCAGTATAGCATTTTGGAGGTGCAAGCTAGCACATTAGCAAACGTCGGTTTGAAATGTTACTTAAAGGGATATTATTTTAGTTTTTGAATGCAAATAATTATATAAACATAAGGAGTTTGAGTCAAAATCTGCAATAAAAGAATACAATAACATTGAAATGAATATATATCCTTAAGAAGTTTAAGTAAAAATGTGCTCCTCTTTTGCTAATCACAAATAAGTGAACTCATCTTGTGTAAATTAATTGCATAAAGCGTGAGGATTACATTGCTGCTCACTCATTTAAATGCATCATCAGTCCTACTCTTTAGAGACTTAACCACAAATGGTTTGTATTATGTTAACCATCAAATTACTAATATTCATGAATCTGTACATTATTTGACATTAAATGTCCTCCAAGCTACAAGCTAACTCATGTGCAACTGTTTTAGTCACAGGGTAATGTGCAACATAATAATACGATAAAAATAATATAACATATTTTTTCCAAACACAAGAAGTTAAAGAAAAAATGTGGAATAAAAAATACAAATATTTATATAAACCTAAATAATCTGCTAATTTAAAATAAACGAGTCCCTAGAGTAATATACATGTATAAGAAGAACGTTTTATTTGGATAGCACTTTTCATACACATGATGTGTCACATAAACACAAGATGAACCGAAAACAAGAAGTTACATACAGGTCAGACGTCTATACCCTTTTTGCACACATGCAGCAGACATGATATATAAGATTTAAAGGAATACAAGGTGGTAAAATAGTCAAGAGAATATATTAATAATCGATAAAGTAGTTCATTTATCAACCATAACAGCTTCTGTTGAGCTTGTGTGCTTGCTCTTTTCACAAATAAGTAAGCTCATATTGTGTGTGTGTAATAAATTGCTTCAAGTCGTTTAGCATTTCTGGAAATATACCAAATATCCACATTGTTTTGAAGTATTATGCAGCTGAGGACCAGTCTGACCTGATTTATCTGCGTCACGTGGGTACGGCTGAATGATTTGTCTGGTAATGCACCCCGTGTTTTAACAGGCCTCAAGTCACAGTGTAATCTCCTCGTTGTTTGGATACTGGCTACACTAATTACCCAGAGCCACACCTGTCTGTCAGCCTGCTTTTAAACATGGTTGTGCTTTCCAGCTGCTGTTATTTAGCCTGAACCCAGCTCTACAGAGAGTGTAATAAATGCTTTATGGTTAAGTTCTCGGTTTGGCCTACATCCCACACTTGAACGACTTGATGATCTGACCTGAAAGCCTGTACTCCTTCTGCCATTATCTGCTGGCCTAGTGAGCTTGTAAATATTTTAAAGACAGAGAGAGCGCAGTCTTATATTGCCTGCAATTCTATAATGGCTATTTAAAACGCAGCGTCAGCCTTTTAAGAGATCTTACCATCCTCTGTATTATCCTCTGTATTATACCATACCACCATTCAACATGTATCAACATGTAATGTATATATGTCAACCATTAAAATTACACATGTTCATGTTCATGATTAGATGCAATTTTTAACATATAATGTCATGGATCTACAACATGACAGAATTGTAAAGTGGAATACATACTAAACCAGTTTATTTTTTAAAGGAATTTGCATTGTTAATACACCGCATCAAAAACATTTGACATAACATAAACCTAGCAGCATGAAATATAGTTGAAAAAGCTCTAAGACCAATTTTAAATGTAGAATAGAAGAAAATACTAAGAATACATAAATACAATTATACAATGAAAACATGAAAAACACAAAAGAGCTGTGAAGTTCTTTTAAATCTGTACCTTTAAGTAGAAATGTGCAATATTGTATCGGGAATGTGCAAATAATTTCATTTTTACGGATTCGAAATGATTTATTTACTGTGTGTTTTGAAGGTCTAAACTGAAACCATGCTGAAATGGTTTTCCGCTGAAGAGGGAGAGCCTGGATCTGCAGTGAGTATACCTTCTTATCTTATTATTTACATGCTCGTAGCCTCATTTTTCCATATCTGATTGAAATGGTTTGTTCTTGAACTAAGCTCACTGAAGAAAAGCTTAAGGGTGTTTCTGAAATGTCAACAAAATGTTGCTATGTTCATGAGTTTGTGGAATTGTTTCACACTCTGTTCCTAATCACAGCGATTCCTCCACTTAAATTCAATGCAGAGGAGACCATGGGACCATTGATTTAAATCAGTCCTGACAGTGAGAACATTACTCAGCCCTTTTCAGCTATAATATCATGTTACAGTATCTTTCAGCCTAACTTTAATTAGCTCAAAGGAAACCCAGCCAAAGCTTGGCAGTGTGTTTCATGTCCAGATATCTGCTGAGCCCAGGGCTTTGTCTGAAACAACCAGAGCTCTCACTTCCTGTGTGGGGGGGGGACTTAATCCCACTGCACCCTCATCCTATTGAATCTACCTATAGAGTCACGCCTATGGAGAGGTGCAGTGATGATGTATTTTTGTAGGCTGACCCTGAAGGCAGCATCTCTCTGGTTCCCTCCACAATGGGAATTCTTCCATGGGTTTTGGATTATTGCAGAGAATAATCTTTGAGTCAAACAAACGTTTATGATACTTACAAGTTTAGTTCAGCAGGATAATCTCCACGTATTAACACCACTTTGCGATTTTTGAAGTAAAAAGCTAACGTTAGGCTATAAAGGAACTACAGCACGGTCACGTGACTTCACGTCACCACCGCTAAGCTAAAGGTGGCTAATGTTGGGCTATAAAGGAACTACAGCACGGTCACATGACTTCACGTCACCACCGCTAAGCTAAAGGAGGCTAATGTTGGGCTATAAAGGAACTACAGCACGGACGGTCACATGACTTCACGTCACCGCCGCTAAGGCAAAGGTGGCTAATGTTGGGCTATAAAGGAACTACAGCACGGACGGTCACATGACTTCACGTCACCGCCGCTAAGCTAAAGGAGGCTAATGTTGGCCTATAAAGGAACTACAGCACGGTCACAGATGCAGTGCAGAAGCAGCATCTTGGCTCTCATTCTGTTTTTATATATATTATAGTGTGTCTTATTTCTAGCGGTAAAGTCGGGACCCTTTACAATCGAGCTCAGTTATTTTTCACATTTGTGTCTTTTCTCCGGTGAGAGATAAGATATAAGATAGTACTTTATTGATCCCAATTCGGGAAATGTTTGCGTTGCAGCAGCATAAAAAGACATGGCATTGTACAATGCAAATGAAAAAGACTAGAAATAAACAAAGAAGTAGAAAATATACAAGTTGAATTTACAAATTAGCAAAAACAAAATATAAGAGCAAGCAACAACTTTGTCTTTTTACCAATGAGGACAATAAAGATAATCTGATCCGAATCCCAAAATCTGAAAACGCTTATCTAATCTGCGGGGTATCATGGATATTGATACTTAATCGTATAGTGTGGGGGTGGTGGCGGCGAGGGAGTGCCGAGGCGTCTCCCG